TGTATAACCATGAGTTGTAATATTGAGATCTGTAATTCTGATCTCATACACAGTTTACTTTAGAACTTCCCTTCCCATAGTTGCTCCCTTCTCTAATGGTGATGCGTCTAGGTTCTTTTATCCTTAAGATATTTACTTATTTGCTCAATCTTTGAGTACATGAGTAGATTCAGTTTCTAACATAGAGCTGTGAAAATCCTACTCACTAAACAGTATTTGTATGTAGTTTTTTTTTGCCTTTCATTTTAGAACATACAGTAAGAAGACTTTTTTAAGAATAGTTGGGTCAGTTCTTTTTTCCCCTTCAGTGTAATTTTGTTATTCATTTTAAAAAAAACCTGACAAGTTTTTCTGCTTTGTTTGTAATTTTAGGTTTCCCCATTCTTGTTGATTTTACTTATAATTTATAGTAATTTTTGGAATGTGAAATTATACTTATTTCAGTAAGCTAGAACTGCAAGAATAGGAATGCAGGGAAGAATTAATAGATGGCTGCTTAGGTAAGATTTAAAGTTTACGTGGTCTGATTGGTGGAGTTTTAATTACCCATACTATGCATATATGGATGGTATATGCTAATGCTCCACTTTACTTTGTTTTTCCTGCTTAAATGTTTTATTTTAGAGATTGTTCCATGTCCGTACATAGAAATCTAAATCTAATTCTTTTTAAGAGCTGCATGGTGTTCCATTATTTGGATGTATTATATATACTAACCTCTATTGATGGGCATTTGGGTTGTTTGCAATCTAAACAAAGGCATAACAACCCATCTTCTTACACTGTTGTGCATATGTATGATTACATCAGATCACTTTTAAATTGAAGAGGAAATTACTAAATCCTGTTTTTAGGAGGAGGGGACAGATTACAGTTCAAAGTTGCAAAAGTTCTATGTGATTAAATCGATTTTTAAAGAACTCTGAATTACCAATTTCTGAGTTATACTCTAAAACTTAAAACAGTATAATGTCTAAAATATTTTGGTTTTTCAAACTAGTTACTACTCCAGGTCACAGGAAAATTACTGGTTAGCTGTATGCTTTATTAAATGCTATCATAGCTGTTAAAACGGACAGTTTTTATTTAAATCTGTCACTTGTGGAATGAAGAAATGAAACTACAAAACTTTCACATTGTCTTAGAACAAAGTCACTTTTTATTGTTTGCTCTTCACCAGTCTGTAAAGACTAAGTAAACTTAGCAGGTTGTGTAAATGTACTATATTTTGAGTGTGTTTAGTAATAAACCAAATACATTATATAAGACTGGAGAAAATTATTTTACTCCAGAAAAATTATTTTAATTGTTTTCTGGCATTTCCTAGAATAATGGCTTACATTATAGATTATCTAGTCCTGTTTTGTTTCTCCTGCTGGGTTTGTTTATATATACATATATATTGTTTATTTTTTATTGCTAAGACTTGGTTTATATTTTTTCATAACTTATTACTACACGTAACATCAGATCTAAACATTTACTTAACCATTCAAACTTCCTAAGCTACTGTTTGTCAAAAGTCACTCTTCTAGAAGACCAGAAATACTGTTCTAATAAAATCTGTAACACTGGGTTTGCATTTTTTGACACCTCTTTGTACCCATGTTGTAACGGGTTTAGGGTCATAGGATGTAAAAAGCATGTACCTTACATGATGCCTCCAAGTAGTTCTCATCAGATCAGGAGCTGGGAGAACAAGGCCTACTTTTTGACCAAATATAAATATAGGTCAGAAAAAATTGGTTTCAGCCTGTTGATAGGAAATTTTTAGGGGGGAAGGCACCAGTGGAATCTGTAATCAATGAGGAGTTTCAGAATTTCTTCAGATAACAAAAGGTTGCACATTCTATTCCAGCGATAAAAATCAAAACAAATTGTTCAATTAAGAAATTTAATGGGAGACTATATCTAAGAAAAAATCTGTGCTTTTGGATTACACATGCTCTTTTTTAAATCTAGCAATGTCACATACAATGGAGTTTAATACATTTGTTTATTACAAAAGGTACTTAGTAAAGTATTTGATTTCTAAGAAAACAACAGGGCAGGAAAATGGAAGAAAAAATCACCTTTGGCTTTTATGTGTTCCTTTTTATAGTATATTCAAGGCTGTAGTATATTTAGAATTGATTATTTTTGTTTAATAGTAAAACAGTAGATGACAACTAGTGTTTTCTAAAGATATATTGTTATTTTTTATCTTTAGTGAGTAAAGCTAATTATAAGCTTTAAGAGCTATATTCTTAACATGTGTTAAACAGGATTTAATTTGATTAATACTAAAATCATTTACTTCCTTAAACTGTGTGCTAAGATTTCCACATATTCTTAGGCCCCCTAAATCTCTTTATTTTACTGATATTTTTCTATTCTTGAGCTTTTGTTTTTTAAATTATTTTTAGCATCCTCTGCCTTTGTAACTTAGTTCAAAATATTTTATTATAATTATATAATACTGCTATAATTATAAGGCACTACAGTGAAACCTGAACTCTCCAGTAGTTAACATTCTGATATAGCTTGGCTTCTCTAATATCTGCATTAGAAAAGGAACCAGAAAAAAGTTCTGAAGCCTTTCTGGCAGTGAATAAGTAGCTCCTAAGCATTCAACAGAAAGGATATAGCCAGGAGAGCCAAAGATCTGAAGGTCATTCCTGATACACTATATTTACTGGTTTGTCACAATGAAGGAAAGGAGTACTCAGGTTGACGAGTGATGTCTCATAGGCACTTCTTTTATGTTGAAAGCTGAAAGTGCAGTAGAAGAGATAAGGAGAAAAGTGTCAGGGAGAAAAGGGACCACAGCAATTCTGATATTGATACAGGCATGGTGGAATAGTAATGAGGTACTTATGTAGTTCATATTCCAACAAGGTAAAGAGGGTCAGTGATAAAGAGACCACCTCTTTTCTGGATAGGCGATAATTCATTCGATATTATTGAAGGCTTAGAGTATCCCTAAGGGGTAGAGGTAAATTGGCATTGCCCAGAACAAGTGATTAGGGAAGGGATAATAGCCACTATACTCGAGCTTGGGGAATCCAATGTAGGAAATCAATGAACATGGCAGTGGCATGTGGGCGATGGGTACAAACAGGTATCTCTTAGTTCTTTAGGGAACCACTCTGCAGATAGAGCAGTATGTGTCAGTATTTTAGAAGGCATTAAAAGTAACAGTACACTGAAAGCAATGTCCTGTACTTCACAGTTTTATAAGATTTATATCTCTGCTATCTTGTGCTTACTAGTGGGAAATAGGACATTAAGGAAAATGTTCCGGTATGTTTTCTAATACATCATCCTGTTACGATAGCTCTTTTGAGCTGTACTCCTGTGGTTCTTCATTCTTATTTTAATTGTTTCTCTTTAGTTTTGTTCCTCAATTCTATAATTGAGGGAAAACATTCTCTGAAAAAAAATGAGTTTTGAGTTGTTGAGGAAGCATATAGGACATCTTAGATTTGCATTTAAAATTGAAAAAAGACTCAAATGTTTAAAGGGCCAATCTGTAGTACTGGAAAATTCTACTACCTAGAATTTCTTTGTAGTCATCTTTTTGATATTCTTTCCCTTTTCTGAATAGAGTTTATAGCCTGCCACCAAGCCATGTGCATTACTTTTCAGCATATAGATTTACCATTGTGGGGTAGAGCATGTTGAATTTGGCACCTGAAGAAGACCTGTAACTAAGAAGGATGTCTTTTGTTTCTATGCTAGGCCAAATTTCCTGTCACACGTAAGCATTTTCTTGGGGGCTGGAGAGTTCTACAGTGGATAGGTATAGGTAATAAGTTTGACATTGTTGACTTTTTGCTCCCCTTCACAACATGTGTAATTATTTTTGCTGTATTTATATATGACAAAATTCAGTTAATGACTGTTGATTCTGTTAAGCAAACATAATAGAGGCTTAGTGTGACTGTCATTAACTTGGAGTTGAAACAGATCTGTTTCCCTGCAGAAATATTATGGCCTTGTCCTCTTAAGGATTTTGTGAACTGCAGTCAGGACCCTTTTGATATAAACCCTTGTATGGTGTTGATGCTTAATATAAAACACACTTTTTTATTTTCAGGAAATTTTCAAGAGGGCAAATATGAACTGAATTAACTAGTTCCTCCTGAGGAAAAAATAAGAATAGTTAAGAGCATGTATCATCAGTATGCATCAAGTAGCAAACTTTATGTACATTACAAATACAGTTTAGTATTGGTATTAGTAAATTATTATTTCCTGCAAATTTTTTGCAGTTGGTATTAGTAAAATTATTTCCTGCAAGCTTATAGATATGTACTTCAGTTTTATGAGTATGCTTTGATTTATCGTGTACTAGATTTCATAAGCACTGAACTAATTTACAAAGAATATTGACCTGAATTGCTCAATCCCTATCCCAAGTAACTTCCATAATTATCAAAGCTTTTTTCTTGTTTGTAATTTAAACCTATAGTAATTAAAAAAAACAAAACCTTTAAAAATAGATAAGCAATCTAATTAGAATAATGAGGGTGAGCTTGATATAATGGCAGTTAAAATGGGAGGGATTAAATTTTTATAGGTAATATCAGCAATTCTGGTTTCCTATTATGTCATTTTTTAATATACTTAAAACTCCTGGAGCTTTGACCAGAGGTTGATGATGGTAAGCCTCATTGTCATATTTTCCCAAAAAAACCTTGTAATTGTTTTTCTTTTACACAGTTATGTTTCTTTTAATCTAAAATTAGTTGAAATTATAAAAACAAAATAAATTTGCTAAATTCCATCAATAGACCTAATACCTTACAGCTATTCTGTGTGAAGGAATCTTATCAAAAGGACACTATATAGAGGCACCTGGCTGGCTTAGTTGGTAAAGCACACGACTCTTGATCTAGGGGTTGGGAGTTGAGCTGCATGTTGGGTGCAGAGTTTATTTAGAAATAAAATCTTAAAAAAAAAAAAAAAAAGATGCTCTTTAATTTTCTCACCCCTTTCTCTCCCTTTTGTTTTCAAAGAGAAGCTGGTAGTCTGGGTAGATTCAAGGCATCTTTAAAAGAAAATGTCTTGGGGAGCCCCAAGGAACTGATGAAGTTAAGTGTACCATCATTAGTGTATGCTGTTCAGAACAATATGGCTTTCCTAGCTCTTAGCAATCTGGATGCAGCAGTATACCAGGTAAGTGGAGGTGAATGACAACAAAAAATATAGGATCTTAAAAACAAATTTTTAGGGTGAAAAGATTTTTATTAACCCTTTATCACGTTATATTTCTTCTCCATAATTCTGTTAATATCAAATATTTGTGTCAGAGACTATTGTTATGAGTTCATTAATTCATTGTTTTGTTTCTAGGTGACCTATCAATTGAAGATTCCCTGCACTGCTTTATGTACTGTTTTAATGTTAAACCGGACACTCAGCAAATTACAGTGGATTTCAGTTTTTATGCTGTGTGGTGGAGTCATACTTGTACAGTGGAAGCCAGCCCAAGCTACAAAAGTTGTGGTAAGAAACAAATACCATACCTAAAATAGAAGACTTCCTTAAGTCTTATGACACTTTAGACAGTCATATTGATGAATGTAGTATGATTACATTTCTTTGACTGAAAGGAATCTTTGCCCTACAGATAGGCATTTTTAATTTTTTTTTACTCCCTTTGGATACAGATAATATAACTGACTGGAATCCCCTCCTTTAGTTTTTCTGGGTGGGAACATGACTAAAATATATTAGAGATGGAAAATACCATTAATGTAATCACCCCCCTTCGTTTTATGGAGGACAAAATTGAAGTTCAAACAACTGAAGTAACTTGTCCATAGTTACACACTAACAGCTAACCTGTGATACAATTTTATCAGTTTCCAGTTTGTATGTTCAGAACTCACAGGCCTTTTAGACATTTTCTCAAGAACCCTAAGCAAGGTTTTCTCCATCTAATTGTCATGTTTTCCTTCAACTCCCAGTTTTTTAAAATCTTTTTGTACATACTCCCACTGTCAGTGATAGGGATTATAGAATAGTAGTGTTTTTACTGATAATCAATAACTAAAATAGGGCCAAAAGTGCCTTTATAATTTTCAGTTTAAGAGTTCAGTGTTAAGGTACATACCTGATTTTTTTTTTTTTAAAGTGTAACATACGGGATCCCTGGGTGGCTTAGCAGTTTAATGCCAGCCTTCGGCGCAGGGCGTGATCCTGGAGTCCGGGGATCCAGTCCCGGGATCGAGTCCCACATCGGGCTCCCTGCATGGAGCCTGCTTCTCCCTCTGCCTGTGTGTGTCTCTGCCTCTCTCTTTCTGTTTCTCATGAATAAATAAATAAAATCTTTTAAAAAAAATAAAGTGTAACATACTTTATAGATTATTTTTACAAAGAGAATTAGGAAGTGGAACTGTAGTTCAGGAATTTCCCTCAACAACCGAAGACTCTCTTTACCTCTTAGGAAATAAAAGACCACAGTTCTCCTATAAATATAAGGTGGCTGAGGATGTAGCTGAGGATGTATGGAGAGCTTGTGCCAAGTAGGAAGTCAGTCATTTTTTAGGTAGTTTCTAGCCAAAAACTAGGTGGAGGATTCCCCCCTCACCTGCCAGAAAATGAGGTTTAGATGAATATTTATTGTCTTCACATATTTAATATATTCTTGGTGGTATTTCAAGACAGTGACCAAATATGTACTGCACATTTAATTCAGTTGTAGACTCTCATAGAAATACTTTATTGGGAAGTAAGGCAAACAGAAGTGAAATATGAACTTTAAGACTTCACACCATTAGAAAGCATGCTAGGTCCACCTCATATAGGTAATGTATGTGAAACGCTCAGTAATCTAATGCAGAGTATATGGCAGCTTTCCTACTTTTGGACCACTCTATAAAGTTCTTTCATATTTTAAGCAAAGGGCAGCTTCTGGTAACTGCCCCTCATTGTTCTTTGTTCTTTGTTCTTGTTAGACTAACGCAAATCCCAATTCACTATATATGGTGATCCTTTGTATGTTTGAGGACAGTCACACCACCACCATCCAAATCTTTTTCCTTCTCATTGAGACAACCTTGTTCTTTCATAATACATTTCTAAAGATTTCTTGCTCCCTGATGCTTGTCACAGTACTTCCTTATATTTCTCTTATAGATGCATTCATTGATTCTTGTCCTTCAGTAGTCTTAAAACTTCCCACTATCTCTAGATGTTGACAAGCAGTGTGGGGTGTAACTTGTGAATTACCTCCTTTGTTCTGAATACTAGAGACTTGTTAAATTAGCCTATAAGTCTGTGAGTTTTCAGAGGAGGTGGGGGGAGAATAGCCATTCCATAACTGATTATACACAAAACGTTTCACAGTTTATCGTAAATGTGTTATGTGCGTGAGCTTTTCCTAAACCAAAATGCAGAATGTGTGGGAGGGCAGAGTGGTGGGGAGACCAGAGGGAGAAAGAATCTTAAGCAGGCTCCATGCCCAGCTCGGAGCCAGACAGTGGGCTCGATCTCACCACCTTGAAATCATGACCTGAGCCTAAATCAAGAGTTGGATGCTTAACTGACTGAGCCACCCAGGCACTCCCATTAGACTTTTTAAGTAAAGTCATGTGTTCTAGCCTTTTGCTAGGTAATCAATAGTAGTAATAACAGCTACAATCACTTTTATACTATCAGGCCCTTTATTTTGAATCAGGTATGTTATTGTCATAGTATAGTCATATGTCTCAACTCTTACTATTGAGATAGTATTTGTCTCTGAAGAAAGACTGATGAAAGCTCTTTGAGGATTAGTTTAGGGAAGAAAAAGGAAATAAAGTTGAAACAGTAGATTAGGGCACATTTACATGCATCTTTTAGCACAGAATTAGGATTATATATACCTGTCAGTCTCCTCTATCCTGTAGTCTCCAGTATCCTCTATCCTCCTCTATCTCCTCTATTTAAGAACCAGAACTATGTATCATCCTCATTTTTATTCATTTAGTATATGAGAAATATCCAGTACATAGTAAGTAAGGTATTAATATTTGATAAAGATTCAGTAAAGTAGGAAAGCTTAAAAGTCATTACCTCATCCTGCAGGTGTTAGGGAATAAATGAGTTAAACTGTTACCATTTACATCACTGACACTATCAGGGCCTGAGTTAGGGTGGTGGCAGAAGTTAAAATTAAGAGGCAAGCTGATTATGCAAAATACTGTGCTAGGTTGCCTGTTGTTAGGAAATGGGCACGCATGTTCTGGTAAACATACACCACGGCTACAATTTGAGTGATACATTTTATAACTTCAGTGCTTTTTCAGAGATTTCTGGGATGGCCTTTTGTTTGTTTCTGTCTTTCTCTAGAGGATAGCAGCGGGGTCTCATGTGGCATATACTTTCAAGAGAACTGTAATACAGATTTTTATAGTCATTTGCTCTCTTGGATGAATTTTGTCACTAATCACTTTTAAAACATTATTGCAGGTGGAACAGAATCCATTGTTAGGGTTTGGCGCTATAGCTGTTGCTGTATTGTGCTCAGGATTTGCAGGTAAATGATAAATGCATTGTTTTATTCTGTTAAAAATTTAAAAAAAGATTAAACTCTACACAGGGATCTAGTTCATCTTATTTCATCGTAACAATTTTATTCCCAGTAAGGCTTATCCTCCAACTTACTGTTTTGTGCCAGCTGTTTTTTCAGTAAATGTGTGGCAGTGTTGAATTCAGTTCAGACCTCATTCATACTTGCTGTTATCTGAGAACATACTTACATCATGTTCTTACATCATGCTTACCATCAGTCCAGCTAAGGATTGGACTAAGGACCAAAAAGTAAATGAACAAAGACTTCTGAAAATGGAGGAAGTTATTAGCAGTTAGAAAGCTCAAGTATCTCCATTTTCCTGGAAATGGCACTATCTTCAGGTATGATTCTGCTGCTTTAGGTGTTCAGTTACCAGCTCGGCATCTGTTTTTCCCTCTTAACCTCAAGTTCTTCCTCTGCTTTAACAGATTAGGAATTCTGGAATAGGGAGAAAAGGAGGGCAGGGGGGAGAGTACCTCAGAAAAGTTAATACATAGAAGCACCAGCCAAAAAGGGAGGGAGGAGAACCAAAATCACTAACATCAAAAAAACATGAAAGTCTAGATTCATGTGTAGGGACAAGAAATCCTCCACTTAATCAAGAAGAGACAAAGTATGGATGTTAGTGCAACATGTGTTTTAGAAATAGTTCCAACAGAGAACCTGAAAGTTCTTTTTAGTAAAGAGTGTATTTGTTATAGCTATGTTATTATTTATCTTTATTTGTGCTTTTTCAAAAGTTAGGATTCTTTTTACTTTTGACTAAGAAAGTAGGTGGGATATGGAAGTGAAATATTGCTTGTAGAAAAGATGTTTGGTAAAAGGAAAACAATCTAAATTTAGGATATATTTAATGATAGCATCATGCTAATTTTTTATTCTTAGGAACAAGCAAATTAGAAACAAAAACTGAATTACCCAAAAAATAATACGCTATTAGACGTTAGTACCATTTTGAACAATTAAATGTTTGTGTCCAACATTGTATTTAGTTCAACCTTTCAATACACAATTTAGGAAATGGTGGGTGGTTTAATATCCCTTTATGCTTGGAGAGTCACTGAGCACCTAATAGTTAAGTGGTTTTCTCAGATAGAATATTAAAAAATGGGAATAGGAATAGCCAGTATATGTTTGTTCCCTTTCTCTGGCTCTTTCTAACACACATTCACCGAAAACAGTCTTGTTTTTCATTAGAATTTTTAGTTGATTAGTATTTGAGTGGCAGTTTCTAAGTCTGTAATTAACATGGTGTTTATAATGAAAATCTTTGATGGATACATATATTCATTTTTAAGTATAAAACTTTTAGCAGTGGTATGTGATTTTGGGTATATGTAATAAGGAGTTATTTGCTCTTTCGGAATATCTGAAAAAACTATGGACCCTCAACCGCAAGAAAAATACATGTATACACAAAATGTATTATCTGTGAGGGAGTTCATGGTCCTTCTGACATTGTGTATGAACTTGGCTTGTTGAACCTTGCTTTAAAGGAAAATGGCTTCACTCAGCAAGTTCTATTTAAATTTTATTTTGGTTGTTACTCTGTAAAAAAATCCCAAGTGGTGATTATATAGGTTATTTTGCAAAGCTGGGAGTTTTCATTACTAGGCAGATATTACAGGGATATGATTTTTTTTTCAGGGATATGATTAAGATAATTGACTCTAACAGTATAGTTTTCTAGCCGACCAAAGCAAGTCTATTATTGGCATTAACAGAGAACTTCTATGATCTATGTGACTGCTATAATAAAGGCAGAAACTGTTCTTAATAATTTGAGTCTTCTGTTAAATGTGGGTTATAAAGTTCCTTTTTAGTTATTAATCTTTATGCTTTATAAAAATACATGTTGGTAATATCTAAGATGCCACGTGTCACAACCAACGTAATAAATGTGCATTTGATGTAAAATGTGTTTGTTCCCTGAAATATATACCTTACATTGTCATACCTCTGTTCTTGTTCTAAATGAAAGGCATTTTAAGTTAATTTTTAATAGTATCTCTCATATTTGCATATCTAATTTTTTTTCCAGGAGTGTATTTTGAAAAAGTTTTAAAGAGTTCAGATACTTCCCTTTGGGTGAGAAACATTCAAATGTATCTCTCAGGGATTGTTGTGACATTAGTTGGCGTCTACTTGTCAGATGGAGCTGAAATTAATGAAAAAGGATTTTTCTATGGTTACACATATTATGTCTGGTTTGTCATCTGTAAGTATCCAGGAATTAAAAGTTCTGGCTAGATCTTTTTTTTTTTTTTTTTTTTAAGTTGTGTTTTAAGCCTTTATAACATTTTGAAATTGTTCCTTTGATACTTTGAACACCAGTTTGAAAATGTAATTTTGGTTTTATTGACTGACTTTTGTGGCATAGCTATCCCAAAGCAATTTTGCCTTCACAATCAAAAGTATCTAATGTGTTAGCAATAAATGTGTACAATTTAGTAGTAGACCACATAGCCCTCTGGGCATGTGAAAAGCAATGTTGTTTTGTAGGAACTATTACTCGATTTTAGTACAAACTCTCTCAGATGGCTACTTGTAAGGAAAATAGTATTTTCCTAGGTAAATTAGTGTGGCATCTCTAGGGGTGAAAATTGCTTTGCCATCATAGAATGTTCCATTATTTGAGTGTTAAGATTTTATCTCTTTGTGTATACAAGTTCTTGCAAGTGTTGGAGGCCTCTACACTTCTGTTGTGGTCAAGTACACAGACAACATCATGAAGGGTTTTTCTGCGGCAGCAGCCATTGTCCTTTCTACCTTCGCTTCAGTGATGCTGTTTGGGTTACAGATAAGTATGTCTTAGTTTGTATTTTTAGGTTTTTAACACAGAAGAGTTTCCCACTTCTTGATTCATTTCATGTTATTAAATATGGCAGTTGATCATTGTGCTTACTCAGATTGTTTTGTTATAGTTTATAGTTGTATGAGATACGGGTTAGCAGTACTAAGGTGTTTGCAGTCATCCTAGAGCTTATGCTGAGGGGTACTGGGTCTACTGAGAGTGAGAGGGCTATGGAGGAACCTTTTTTGGAGTCAGGACCTCCCTGCTCCCCAGGGTTGAGATACAAAACAATTTGAATACTTCTTACGTCCAGGTGAACATAGTGTTGATTAGGTATGCAAGAAAATGAATACAAGGACTTTAGGGGATGATTCCTTTCAGCAATACAATTAAAATAAGGCTTTCTATGATGAAGGAAGAACAGAAAACTCATCTCCCCGAGTTTGTACCTTCCTAATTTTTAGACTTGGGTATAAATTCGTTTTGAAGCAATAATCCAAATCCAAATTAAAGATATCTTTGTTTCACTTAATATGTAATTAATACAAAATTCATTACCATAGATGACATTCTGGCACCCTCACAATGCGAGTCCTTCTAATATATATTTCCTTAGCCCACACCCATCATTAAGTTGGCTTCTGAATTATTTAAGTAGTGATTTTGACTTAACATTTCGGGGTGCTGTAATAATAATTTTCTTAACTGATCAGTTATACCACAATCTGTTAAATACTGACATTAAGTAAGAGACCTGGCCTATATTTACATTTGATTTTAAAATGGACTCTTGTTATAAATGCAAATAGAGGAACACCAAGCTTGTAGAAATCTTACAAAACCATTTTATAGTATGGTTTTAAGTTCTGCCTGTATCATTTATTAGTTGTGCAGCTTTGGGGTGGGGGAGGGAAGTTACTTAACCTGTGTCTTAGTTTCTGCATCTGTAAAATGGGACTGACCATATCACCTATCTGCTAGGGTTGTTTTGGTGAAATGCTTAGAATAAATGCCTGGCACACAGTTATGTATTTTGTAGGAGGCCAGCCACTTACCATTTTAGTATCAGTGTATATAGGTCCTGTTTTAGATGTATTTCTTACCTGATTTGGGTGAAATTTTAATTGTAGTTCTGATCCTTCCTTAACAAATCCTTTTGCCTTTGATCCTAAGGGATACTTGGGAACAGTGAAAAATGCTTTTGGTCAGTGTTCTTGCTGATGGTCATGGAAATGAATTAGAACATCTTAGAAATCTTCCAGTTTTCTACTTAGATTTAACTTCCTTTTTTTGAAGGCAAAGCTAATTAGGAGTGAACTAAAATCATAGCTTGATGTCATTTCTCTGTGTGCCATTTTTAGAGCTAGTAAGATTGTGCTGTTGTATTTCATATAGAATATGGTTCAGTTTTGAACAGAATATACACTTTTGACGTAGACTTTGACATAAGTGTTTATGTATAAAATGCCTGTTTGTCAAGTTTGGACAAGCTATAATTAATATCCTAATTTTCAGGATTGAAGATTAAAGAAAAAAAAAAGCTAGCAGAAAATGGAATTGTACTCAGTAAATCACCACTTCATTTCCTAGTCAGAAATTTTCACTGGTTTGAGTCATTGGTCATCTAACTCAGAAATTTTGCTCAACTACCTTTTACTCTAAATTTCTGCAGGTTTCTAGTGCCACGAAAAAGCCACATTCCACTGCTTTTCTTTAAATTAGCATATAGGGAAGTTAGTATATTCTTTGTCAGTGGCCCAGGACAGGCATACTTGTGTTCTTGGAAAGTGTATAGTCATTCCCTTGACTGTACTTTTTTTTGGTGGGGAGAGGCGCTGGGGAGCTAGAATTGATTATCTTTCTAAACCTTACTATCATAAAAATAGAACACTTAGATTTATTTTCCATATGATCTAATGGTATAAGCCCATAATAATAGATTTCAAAATTTAAAATTATTATGATATAGTTTTAAGGACACAAATACAAATTAAACATTTTTTTCTTTTCAGCACTCACCTTTGCTCTGGGCACTCTTCTTGTATGTGTTTCTATATATCTGTATGGATTACCCAGACAAGACACTACATCCATCCAACAAGGAGAAATAGCTTCAAAAGAGAGAGTTGGTGGTGTATGATTTCAGCCTCAAAAGAGATTCCTATCAAGACTAAGCTGTTTGGATTAAACTAGAGCCTTAAGTCAATCCCAGAAGGTAGCTTAAACAAAAACAATATGTTAACTGTGTTATAAGAATTAAGAAGAAAGCTATCTGAGTGAATTGCTACAAATATTTAATGTGACCTGTTTTGGGTCAACTTGTTTTAAGAATGAAAGAATTTTATTACTGTATATATAATGTATATAAAAAGAATGGAGAGGATATGGTGTTAAAAAAAATCACGTGAGGATACAATATTCAAATAACAAGGTTTGGGACTAGGTTAAGGGTTAAAGTGCCAAAGCCATTTCTGTACGAACTGTTTTCTTGTTCAGGTACCAGGGGAGAAGGACGACCCCTCCTTGTTCTCCAGTTGATGTACAGTATTTCATCCCAGCAGCAGTAAAGACCTAGCTCTTTTCTTACAAAAGAGAGGCAAAACCAAGATAGGCTAGTTCAGAAACAAACTGAATGTCTAACTTCTCAAACTGAATCTATTTCATAATGCAGACAATGACTTCTAGGTGGTGAATGAGTACTCCTGTAAGTGCTGTATTTGTGCCATTCATTGTCTGGATTCATGTTTCTTTGCAGTTAGATGATCTACTTTTCTTCAAAAAATATTTCTAATGTCACTTTTGTACTTTTTTTTATAAAGTATGTTTAAAACTATTGGGCTGTCAATAATTTGTGAAATTTCAGTGTTTTTAAAAAATTTTTCTATAATGTTAATGGGAAAATTCAGCAATAAACTTAATTTATTTATATGAAATCTATGATCACTTTTTATATTGATTATAACCAGTAAGATAATGCAAAATGTAAAAAACTCAAAATACCAAATTTTTCATTTTTTCTATGTTAGAATTTTAGGGTTCTTTGGTTGCATAAAAACCAAGTCTTGGCTAGCCCTAAGCAAAAAAAAAAAAAGTTTATAAGGACTACAGTCAGGGCAGTAGTAGGGCTCTTTTTAGGGAGCTGCTTTTGGAAAGACCAGACTCTACCCATTACTGTCCCTGTATCATTTCACTCAAGATTCAAATCCTGAGGAGGCTACCACAGATCTGGGAAGGGGAACATCTCTCCAAATGTGAAGGATTTAGGAATTGCACATTTTATTCCATGGCTGGCTTGTGCTAAGGAAATATTAATGATACTTTAAGTAAAAATTAGTAATCTGGAATAATTTACTTAACATGGATGAATCTTTTCCAGGACTAAGAAGGTATACCATACTTGACAATATAAAAGTATGTTCATTCAACTGGAGAAGCTTTGGTTCATGCTAATTTGTTTCTCTGTTTGTAAAAGTAAATTGTCACTAGTATTCAGAAGACTTCTAGTAGCAACATTTAGGATAAATGATAGCATCCCACTTTTGTTACCTAAACAAATTACACAAAACATCCTTGACCAATATGCAGGTATATGGAAGAAATGGTTTAAGAAACTCCATTTCAAATTATGGTTTACTAATAGACTAATTTTTACAAAAAGATCCTAGTACAATACGCATACAAGTAATTCTTTATTACTCAACTCTATTTAGTTCCCAAGTTCATGCAGTAAGAGTTACCTGTACAGATCAATGAAGAATAAGCATGAGATCTGTTCTCTGGGAGTGGTTGTCAGCTGTATTGGCAAAAAGGCTTTAAAAGGCTTAATTCTGGTCTCCCTAAATTGATTCAGAACTATCCGTTATTGTAAGAAATCGAAATTGCTTTTATCAATTTGATCTGATGCAAACATGAGATAATCTCAGTTATAAGAACACTTTCTAGAAGAATGATGCTGTGAAAATGTAGCCCTGGAGCTTAAAGTCTAATCTTTTATCTCCAGTAGACCACAGTGAATTTTAGATCTGAGTTAGTTTTACAAAACTCTGTGTAGTACCTATTGACCAGGAGGGAACTAAAATGATTTTTTTTTTTAGATAATGATTTAATAAGTTGATAAATCACTTAGGCTTACTAAAATACAGATTCTGATACAGAATAACAGTTTAAATTCTAAACAAGGCATATAAGAATAGATAACTAGAATTCACTTAGTATTTAGAAGCTATTTTAATTAGAAATTACATCCTACATACAGGTGTTATTCCAAGAAGTTTCATTCCATTGGCTAGGACAGAACGCACAGCTCTGAAAAGATGAAGTCTGGCCTACAAAATAAAGAATGAATGTTCAATTTAACAACAGGCTAACTCTAAGTGAATAAAGAACATTTAAAAAAGTAATTCTTCCTTCTAATTTAAAGTAGGAACAGTATCTCAGAGTCCTAGGGTTTGCCGTCTGCAAGGGAAGACAAATTCCTTATGGTATGATGGTACCCAAGAGCTGGGGAGTGGGAGTGAACAGTATCATTATATTATCTGAAGTACAGCTTCAGATAAGGGAAACTCCTCACTTGAACACTTGAGGTAGGAAGATGCATTTCATAATTCAATGTTGGAAAGTATATAAACACTGATTGTTATAGCCCAATTCTAATTACTACCTGAGTCTAAAGTACACTGCTGTAGCTGAACCACAAAATGCTATGTTAGAAACATTTACAAGACTGACTCAATACTATTAATCGGAGGATGCTAGAGATTACATAGAAACCACTTAACATACCCCAGCCACTTCGGGAGGACTGTCTTTCACATACAATGTCTTGTGTGCCATACCTGCAAGATGACTGAAATGGGAAGAAAGAAGTCATGATGAAGACCAGTGGATATTTCCTGTTGTAACATAGAAGGTTGGTATCTTACAGCCTCAACTTAAAGAAATCAAAGCATAGAACCATTAAAGGTTGTGTCCAGTACTAGAAGTTAAGACTTGAATTCACTGCTTTTCTGTAGCAGGGAAAGTAAAACACATTAAACTAAAACTTTAGATTTCGGTTGTAACATGTCAAGTTCTTAAAGTTACAATCTCACTGCTTCATAGAGATAGGGGATTCCTTTCTAAAAATTAGTTTTGCTCATTTAGACACCTTTTAGCACGAAAAGTTTAACATCGTCTGGACTCTCCCCCTCTGTACAGTGAGAAGGTGAGGTAAAAACTAGTAATTAATCCACTGCATGCACACTGGCCACTCTCCTCTAAAGTATCTTTTCTGTTTAGGTATAGCAGCAAATAGAACAATATGCCAGAGAAATGCTTATGAAATTCATTTCAATGATTAACTTTAATAAGACTTTCTGGCTTCTTTATTTCTCTAGGTAGAATTTAAAGGAAAAAAATTATTTAAATCTGGGGAAGAGATAAAAAAGGATAATCAAGAAAACTACCAATAAATCTGATTTCAGTAAATCTTGAGTAAAAGCAAGTAGTTCTTTTCTTAAATAGATTTTAAGATACAGGAAAGATATAGGTGTTGCTCTAGAAGATACTCAACCTCGATTCAGAGTTTCTGAAACAGTTACATATAATTCCTGTTAAAGTGTCACTGATTTGCCTTCCAATTCATTTTCTACCCTCTAGCTGACTGATTTTTTTCTGTGTGTCTGTTTAAAATCTTTTTATGGGCTCCACTGCCCTGAAAATAAGCTGAAATGCCTTAATACATGCAAAAAGGAGTTTATACAATCATTTCTCACCCTGGGACTATGCTTATAGTTCCTTTAATGTATGATGTTCTTTTTCTTCCCTTTCTGCCACCTTGCTTCTCCCAATTAATATCGACTCCTCTCCTCCAAGAAGCTCTCTATTATCCATCAAGGCTGGGCTGAGTGCCCTAACATTGTCTCTTATGTCCACTCTATCCTAACACATATGCACTCTTACATTACTACCTGTGATGAAGCTGTTGTTTCCTGTCACTAGACTGTAGTGATTGTACCTTTTATCACTTAATGAATAAATGAACATTAACTGCTGATTTGCAAAAATGAAGCAAGAATTCCTGTAATTTAAGGCATCTCACTTTTTAGGCCAAGGGGTTTTTTTATAGGAAAATTTTAGAAAAAGGTCCTTTGTTAGATCAGGTCTCCGATGTCTTTAATAACTGAAAACAGCAAGGTTATAAAATACCTTAGAGTTAGAAGGTAACTGACAATGTGCCTGGGTTGAAGGTCCTGAGATGATCTATAAAGTACCTCGTCGAACCTAAAAGAAATATGACAGGAGCAGTTGGCTGGGGAGGACTGTAATAATATAGGGATGTAATAATGTACGTCATTAAGACTAGAAGGTATAGGGATGCCTGGGTGGACCCTTGATTTTGGCTCAGGTCATGATCTTGGGGTTGTGAGACTGAGCCTCATGTGAGACTCTGCTTAAATTTCTCTCTCACTCTCCTCCCTCTGCCCCTAGGTACGCTCTTGCTCTCTCTTAAAAAAGAGTAGAAGGTATATGAAAAAAGACCTTGTGTGCATTTGAATGTAAAGGCACATTTTTCTTTCTTACAAATTCCTTGATGGCAAGGAATCATTTTGATACCCCTTAGGCCTACCCCAGAACAAGGACTCAAGCCATGGCTGTTAATTGAATGTAAAAAGCCTACAGCCATGTTTAGGAACATAATCTAGCAAAAACTACTACCTTTAATGCCAAGAAAACCAAGTAATTTTTTCTAACAAATTAGCCAAACGTGAGAAAACTGACTCCTCTGATCCCAGGAAGGAGCCACTGACCGCTGTGTGGCAATCAGAGAAAACTGCCTTATTAATTACCTACATCCTCTCCAGAGACTAATATCTCTTGACAAGTCTGGCTTCACCAACAATGCTTGTGAGAGCTCAGAGGTGTGGTCTCTTGCTCAGTGTTGGGGCATCAAGTAGATATTTATTTGAGACTGTGAATTGAAACCATGAGGCAAATGAAGGACTTACAGTTTCACAGAAGTGCACACAGGCAGAGGTTTTCCTTCACTTATAAAGGAGGGTGAGGAGAAGACGATCTCTTCCCAAACTACAAGTTTATGCTTTTACCAGGCTTTCTATTCTCATACCATGACATAGAGGGTGTCAGGCTCCTGAACTGATTCAGCGGTGGTATTTAAGTCCCAAGGACTGATCTTGACTGTGTCCTCTTTTGTCTGCCCTCAAGGGCAGGTAATCAATCACTTTTCAGCCATACCTTCAGGAAACTGCTGTCTGGTGGCAGGGAGGCAGTACCTAGTTACTGGATTGTTTACTCCAGTGGTCAGCAAACCACCAAAAGTCATTTCACTAAGTGTGTGCAGACTTCATAATACTAGAAAAATCATACCTGAGAAGATGCTGGAGAATGGAAACAGACTGTGGCTCTTGTAAACAAGCAGTGTTGAAATCATTTAGATAACCACATCCAAAAGTCTCTTCCAAACTGTTATCAAAAATTTAAAAACAACAAAGGATTAAACAAGTCGCCTAAGGACATAAAATTGCAAGTTTGTCAAAATGCTTCAACTTTTCCTAACTATTTCTTCCTCTAAAAATGGGAGTATATTCTTTGGAAGCATTGTTCTGAGTTCTAAATTATTAAGGTAATAAACATAAAAGCAACTCTTACAGAGGTGCTCAAGAAATATCTTAAAAACCAAACCTAACAGGTGGTTCCCTGTACTTCTAACTAGTTTTGGGTAGGAGATACTAGAGAAGCCCAGTAAACAGGACCTTTGATCTTAGGAGCATGCCAGCCAGCCCCACCCTGGGGAGGACTGGAGGGGCTCAGCGTTGCCCTACAGATGGCTTTCACCTGTGGAGGCGGGCATGTGTGTACTGCA